TTAGATGAAAAAGAAGGTAAACAAAGAACATCAGAGGAAGATGAGCTACTAAAAACTTTGGTTTTTCCATTTCCTTCAACAAGATTGAGAGTTCCATCTGCTATTATGACAGGATTCCCTTTTGTATTTTTATCAAGATTTAAAAGTAGATTAGGAGTCCCAATCATATGGTCAGTAGCTCCAGAATCAATAACACATGATGTTGGTGATTGGAAAAAAAAGAAATGAATTTACCTGGTTCATGGTTAGGAGTATCAGAGTTGGAAGCAATCGAAGTTTTGTGAAATTCTAGAACATTTGGGCTAACTTCTCAAGAGTTTGATGAACATCATTGTTGGTTATTTGAGCAGAGTTTTTATTTTTCCTTGCATTTTTCTCTCCTTTTTTCAGGGTGAAATTTCTAGTAATTTTCTATAGAATGGTCTTCCTTCTTACATTCAAGACAGTAAGGTCTGCTAGTACCATGGTTTTTGCCACGATTATGCCCGAGTTTAATGTTTGAGATAAAGGCTTTTCCATAGCTATGATCAAGTTCACTTTTAAGAGCCGACCTGTCAGATTGCTCTGGATGATTTTGATTATTTCCAATCATAGCCTGATGCTTAGATTCTTCTCTATTAATAATGGAGCAAACAGAATCAAAGTCAGGCATTTCTTTAGACAATAAGATTTGGCTTCTCAAAGCCTCATGTTCAGGTCCTAGAACAGACAACAAGGCAAATATCTTTTCTTGATCTTTTTTAGTTTCAAGTGTTTTCAGATCAGTAGTGGTGAGCAGATAATAATCCAATTGATCAAATATACCGAAGACAACGTCAATAAGCTCACTAAAAGTTTGATCACACAACTTCAAATTCATAATTTCTTGTTTAATTTGATAAACTTTTGCGGCATTATTTAGACCTCCATATATAGTTTAGGCTTTAGTCAAGACAGTAGCAGCCATGGAGCAAAACTGAAATCCATAAGCAATTTTGCGATCTATAAAATTCAAAAGCCAACTTTTTACCAAATCATTATTGGTTTCCCACTCCTCATATTTTGGATCAATACCTAGAGAGGCTTTTTTAGTTCCATTTATGTATCCTAATTTTCTTTTTCCACTAATAAATAATTTGGCAGAGTTTGCCCAAAAAATATAATTAACCCCTCCTTTTAATAATTTAGTGGTTATTAGAAGGTTGGGATTTGGCTCAGTATTGTTAGAGTTTTTAGCCATGAGAACAAATACAATGGTTAAATAAAAAGGAACGAATAAAGTCCTTACCGAGCTAAGCTGAAAAAGAATACCGAGAAAGAATATCTGAAAAACCCAGAGGTTCAACACCCTGTAATTATTGAAGCTGAAAAGTGCACACGATAGCCCACCAAATCGTTGAATAAAAATATTGCCTTCTTGAAATAACATGATCTGAGGATTCCACCGCAAACTTATGAGAGAAGAGACCACCAGCAGTCGGACTTCGAAAAAGAAAGGCCGGAGAGAGAGCCCCGGGTGTTGGAAAAAGAAAGGCCGGAGAGAGAGGGCCGGGTATCCAACACGCCAAATCAGAAGCTGAAGCTATAGTTACCCATGGAAAAGCAAACCAAAAGAGGGAACAACTTTGCAAACAAAACAAGGCATGCAAATTGCTTATGGGTTTGTATTCTCACAAGCTCACTAGCCTTCTAAAGTCCTCATATAAAAACATAGAATGGAGTTCTCAAGGGCTGTGGACATTTAGAGGATGAAAACTAATGGAGGCTAAGCTTAAATTGCATAAGATGAAAAAGGACGAAAGCACCAAGGAGTGGGAAATTTAGCAAGCAATTATAATGATGAAGACTTTGCAAACAAAGTAAGGGGAAATAGTAACTCGTAGCCGACAATTATTATGATGTAAACCAACTACTAGAAGCTTAGATGGCGAAGATATTGCAAGCGTCTGTTTGCAAAAATTGAGTCCAGGACACCCCACTATGGAAAAATAGAATGCGATGGCAAAAAAAAAGGAACCCAATCCTTATTCATCAAGGTCACGGGGTTACAAACAAAGCAAAAACGAACGAGAGAGATTGGGATGGCTTCAACTCACTCCACAATTATGGACGAACCCGCAAGACATGGACCACGATCAAGAGAGATGAACCGGCCCCCAAGTGAGCAATGGATCACTACTGATGGATCGGCATGCTCTGATACCATGTTAAGAGCATAAGAGAGAAAATGAGTACGCAAGAATTTACATGGTGCGGCCAATTGGGCCTACATCTACTAAGAGAGAATTAATCTTTATTATTATGACCTTTTATGACTCCCTATATAGAATTGTACACGATGACATTAAGAGTCCACAATAAGAAACAAAGATCAATCTGATTAAGGGAAAAGAAAGCTGGCTAATATACAGATATTGCTCTGATACACCAGGTTATCTCAACGTAACCCAATTTTGTGGTCTTCACTCGAAATAGAGAGAGTTTACTGTAAAGGGGTTCTTTCCTACTATGAATATATAGAAGAGAAAGAAAGCGTGTTGTGAATGGCGCCTTTCACTCGATGATTCAACGTTAGATTTAAAACTGGATGGTTGAGAATGTGTATAAAACATCCATCTTAAAGATTGACGCAAATATGTGGTCAATCTAAAAACAATTGAAATTAACAGTCCAAATATTTTCTTAATAGAATTATTATTTCTAGCTTTAAAAATTTATTTACTTTTTCATGTTAGAGATTACATATACTTAAAAATTAAGTTCAAGAATCCATCTCAAAAATAGATTTATTAAGGGGCCCATATTTCTACATGTGCAGACTTGGCCCGTATGCTAACCGCGTCCATGACTAAAAGTAATTGTAACCTCCTTGTGTCAAAAATAAATAGTCTCATAATCTACAATCCATTATATTACAATTAAGTTACATTTCAAGTTCTTTAGCACTTAGATTAGGGGCAACCTTTCTATGCTTCCCCTACAGCATAAAAGTTTTATCCTCCCCCTTATCCACCCCTCCATTTTGAATGGAGGGCTAAGATTGTCCCAATCATAATGTCACGTCTCTATACTATTTAATTTTTAATTTTTTTTCTATAAACTATTTTGACACCAAATTTTGGACGTCCATTTCTCTATTAAACTCGCAATAGCGCCACATGTAAAAACAATATTTTCAATAAAATAAAATGACCAAAATACCTTTGATAGATTCAAAGGGTATTTTGGTCATTATATTTTATCGAAAAATTATTTTTAATATTATTTATAGGTGCGCCCTAATGAAAAGATGACACGTACAAGATTTCATATTCATACAATTTGTATAAAAAAAAACTAAAAATAAAATACTTTGAGACGTCGGTCTAAGATCAAATGGTTAGTGGCTCTCTTGATCAAAATGGGACGGCTAGATGGTAGGGGGAAGATAGAACTTCTATGCTGTAGGAGAAGCATAAAAACCTTATATTATATCTTTTTAAACTCTAGATTATGCCCTCCATAAATTGAACAGCCGTTAGTGAATTTTGAGGCAATGGTTTCTTAGGGAGATACAGGGTGATTCACTTTTTTCTTATTAACCTATCAGTCGCTAATAGACAATATTATACAGTAAGAGCACAAAATCTTTTGGCGGGCACAAGAAGGAAAAATATCCTAAATAGGCCAACCCCTCCCTCTCTCCGTTACAAGCACTGGCTGAGGTTTTATAAGGCTATATTCAACGGACAATAATTAATCTCATTTTTTATTTTTTATTTAAATAAGATATTCATGTATATATGTATATTCATAAATATAACTAAATAAAAATAATAGAAAAATAATCAAAATACTCATAACTTTATTTTGATTGCATTGTTTTAAAAATATTTTTTATTTCGCCCCCCCAAAGTCGATCTCTCTCTCTCTCTCTCTCTCTAACAACATAGGATGAGTCATAAATAGATTTCCTATTTCTTTTTGGGCTCCCCTCTTCCATCACCTCTGTTTCTTGTTAGGCTCCTCTCTTCCATATACCAACCATAGCTATAATGTTTTGCAAATTCTATTGATGCTCACTCAGCTCAAAAACCCAGGCCATTAGATCATAATTGATAGTAAAGAAGTCTCTTTCTGGATGGGAGAGTGGTAGGATAGGGAGATAAAGGAGAAAATCTACAAGAGAGAAAAAGAGAGGAAGATAGTAAAGAAATCCAAAATATGAAGATGAGTAGAGGAAGGCAAGTTCTCTCACTGGGAGACAGAGAAAAGAGATAAAAGAGGAAGGGATGAGAGTTTCCACTAAGAGAGAGACCTATAAATGTGTCAAACTTGGAGGGATTAACAAATATATCTAATGCCCTTTTTTAAGTGACAAAAAAGAATACATTCATATAATTTCAAATATTTGAAAGGTAACTCATCGTCTAAAATTTTGGAGTAGAGCTTTTTAACACCAATATATATAACACTAAGCCTATTTTACAATGGAACAATGATGGGGTGGTCATCGTCCCATTGAAGGATGGAATAAAGTAGGCCATTTTGACAATTTAAACACTGTTAGGGGGAACCCACCTCACTCAATTTAACATTGAAAACATCCAGTAATTAGATTGAGCTTCATGATAACGGTTATTTATATGGGAGACAGGTTATAGAACTGATAAGTGCAACGAAGGAATGGCACAGCCCCTCCATAGTTTTATCTGTAATAACATAAATAAATAGCTTACACATTTTAACAGTGTGTTTGAAGTGTTCATTTGCTACAAAGATTTCTCAGCAGAATAAGAGGCGAGAAACTTGTTTTATCTTTTCCTAAAGTATCAATTGTGAAGAACGCATCGATCGACATGCAGAAGTGAGAATGAAATAAAATCTCATTTGTAAACTTTTGACGAAAAGTTTAGTTAATGATTGAATACCCAAGCATGGGTAGATCAATTTTCTCACTTAGTATCATGCTATTCCTTTTCCTTTTCTCCAGATCCCATCCTTAGACATAGCTCACCCCAAGCAACCCTTCGGAATCCTTCAGCTCTATAAGACTAAAACTTATGATATATATATATATATCATCGATAAATTACACTACAAACATATTCATTTCAGCTAACTTCCGATCAATCACCATTAGCAGCTAAAAGAGGAACCTTACATTGGAATACATGGACCCTGAATCATTTAAAAACTTTTCCATTCCCTAAAACAATCACAGGATTTTGTGAGCCCAGAAAACACTTCCCCTTCAAGAAATTGTTGCTTAGGAACAATTACCTCTAATAGGTAGTTTAGGAGAATAGATCCTGCAACCGTCAAGGAGTCCGACAGTAAGAGGGAACCTTTCGCATGATACTGATGTGTACAAGGAGCATCTATTGTAGGAAGTATGCCAACCGAACATTATAACTCAACTAGTGCCAATCATGTGCCTTCCATTCAGGTAAAGTTTGGATGATAACCTGCAAAAAATAGAAGTCAATGAAGCAACCATACAAATGGGGGACACGAGTGATCAGTACTTTGAGAACCATTGGAGAATGGTCCAAGTTGAGGCAAACTGGCAATGCACTCAGCAGCAAACAATCTCAAGGATAAATGCCCAAAAGGCATACTCTAAAGTCCAAAAAGGGAAGGGAGGCATAAAACTTTGAGAGAGAGACAGAGAGAGAGAGAGCAATAGAATATGAAGGGGAGAGCAGGAGAAAGATGTACGAAAAATTTTAGTTTATGAAGTGTTTATACAATGGGGTCCTAGGCTATAAGGATCTAGAGAAATGCTCGTGTGAAATATAAAAGCTTATACTATATACATGCTAAGTAACCATCTACACATTGCAGGTATAGAGCAGACTGAAAGGAGAAAAGCATAAACCGCATTGCAGATAAAGAATATAAATACTATTCATATTGTAGAGATAACATAACCACTCATTAACATTGCTCCATTTCGAACATTACACCACAAGCACCTTGTTATTCACCCAAATATAAGTTTTGAATAAAATCAGTTGTTTGATGTATTAAGCTTGTTTAGGCACATAATGTTAAGGAAGAAATGGAATCTACAAAAGAAACCCCCAGGTTTAGCAGACTTTTGTTAACTTTCTTCTTTGCTTTACATTTGATCAATACCTCTATAAGCTTTCAATTCAATGTTCCCTTAAGTTTATATAAAGAGTTTATAGCCGTCCTAACGAGGATAAAAAACTTGCATTCAGGCTTTGAAACAGGACACAAATAGGAGAATCTTTGCATCCATTCCTAACAAATGCCTATTTATTATTCTTAGCATGCATGTGTTGTATATGTTAAAAATGCGATTTACAGAAATAAATGACTTTTCCATTTACACAAGGTCATATAAATGGCTCCCAGGAAGAAGTTCATTTATACAAGATAACGGTACATATATAAAACCATAAATGACCTTCCCATTAGTGAGGAACAAAAATTTCACTTCATTTTCAGGCCTTCTTTATATTTTGTTAAAAAAAGCATCTACATTTGTTGTTCTGATTTCAACAATAACAGCAAATTCAACTGGTTGGATTTGGAGATCCATTGGAGTAATCGAGTCTAGCTTTTTCTGTTTTTGACGAGGGGATCTAAAAGAAATATTATATAATATTCAGAAAGAAAAAAAATAGGAAAAAAAATCTTCAACCAGACTATGCCTCTGTTATCTCCTTCAATCTCTAAGATTTACATACTGAGCCGAAACCTAAAACCGTTTAAAGCTCAAAACTACAACTTCCATTAAAGCATGAGAAGTGGAAATGGCTTGCTAACCTCGCCTCGAGAATCTCCGTTCCCCACAACAGTTTGACATGCAAGTCTCCAAGTCTTGGGTTTCTGCAGTTTTACAAATGAAACAAGAAATATCAAGAACAATAACTCTTTTACCTATCGAAATTGCAGACAACCATCTCAATTGTTAGAGCAACTCCACTCACTTCAATGACATCAGGTTTTATCAATAAGTGGACAAAGCTAAAAAGGCAAGAATTACACTAGGAGAAGGTAATGAATTAAACCTTTACCTTCTTAAGAATTTCTTTCTCTTTATCTGTACGGGGACTTAGAAGTTCCTTTCCGGAAACAACCTGGAATTCACCAAAAATGCATGTATTTAGTGGCTCTAGTTCCAAATCGTAGAAGAAAGAAAAAGTAAAAATTTTAAAAATTAAAAATAAAAAAAAATAGAAAAGAAGAAGAAAGAAATGTATCAAAAAATAAAAGCAAAGAAGGCAGAGATATCAAAGAGGCAAACTATAACAGACCAACAGAAGGGAATGACAAACTGGACAAAACATAAATATGGTGAGGCAGCATTTGAGACTTTTTAAAATTGTGAACAACAAATTCTAGTCTCTTACATGAGCAAAGAATAAAGTAGTCATGCACAAAAGGCTAAAACTTGCACAAAAAATATAGATTTTTGAAAAAGAAGATATAATGGCTTTGTACCTCCACAATACATGTTCCACATGTGCCACTCCCTGCACAGTTAAGCAGAGGTTTGTCCTGTGAAAACGCCATACATATTAGTCCTGCAAATGCTGATGCATCTATAGAAACAAGGAAGATTACTATTTTTACAAGTTCAATTGGGATTTCACATGAGATTAGATACTTATATTCAGACAAAATTGGATTAGCACCTACATGAATGAACCTCATATAGATCTGAGCTTTACTGATGGGCCCAAGAATGATACATATTCTCAAATTCAAATGTGAATGTTTAGTATTTGGTTTTGTGTAGAACTTAATACATACATAAATTGCAGCGGTACCTTAAAATTACGAAACTGTAAGATAAACGAACAGTAGTAAAGTCAAATGTGAAGTTCTTTCCTTAAAAGATGCATCGAATTTAAGTATCTTCTTTGGCGATTATGTTTTGAATCCTGCTAAACATTCTTTTTGTTTTTTTTGGATTGTTTTGGAGTTTATGCTGATGTAGGGTTGTGCCATTATTCCACACCTCACCTTGACCCAATTTACATCACCTGATTTTACTACTATAGTAGTAAAATCAAACGTGAAGTTCTTTCCTTAAAAGATGCATCGAATTTATGCATCTTCTTTGGCGATTATTTTTTGAATCCTGCTAAACATTCTTTTTGTTTTTTTGGAATTTATGCTGATGTAGTGTTGTGCCATTATTCCACACCTCACCTTGACCCAATTTACATAACCTGTAATTCCTTTGGAAAAGTTACTACAAGTATCACCAATTATTTTAATGCAAAAAGATTTGCTTGTAAGATCAACTGAAAAACACCCTTATTTTCCCTGAAAGGACCAACCGAAAGGCAGATTAACTCATTATTTCCCATTTTCTTTAAAATTTGATCAATCGCATTGTCATTTGTTCGCTCTTTTCCACTCGATTAGTACACTAAGTGAAAGAATTATTTATAAAAACACCAAAGACTGATACTGTCAATACGCAGATGGATGCATACATATGGTCCATAGAGATCGATGTGTCCCTCCCTCATTATGTTTCTGAGCTTGCGCCCACCTTTCGAGGATCGAATGTGCACATCCGGGGTTCCATCTGGTAACAATCGAGACTGCAAATTGTCCCAAATACATAAATTATATAAAAAATCCAAGAAAAAATAGACCTATGGTAACGAAAAGCTATGTAAGGCCCATGATAATCTAACCACACAAAGAAAGAAATCCCAGGATATTTCTATCTAAAGATCGATATATTTGTTCATATAAGTTAGCATAGACACCCCAAATATTCCCATTGCAATAATTTTCAGCAGTGTAGCCGGACTCAGCCGAGTCCTAGACTCGGCCTAGTAACTCAGCCTCAGCTTATGGCTGAGATTGACTTGTGGCGAGTTCCAGGGACAACTCGCCACATGTCAAAATAAAATTGTAAAAAATATAAAAATGTTAAAAATATAAAATATTTAGAAATATGTTTTTAGATGATTTTGATGGTTATTAAGATGCTTTCGGAACTTTTCTCATCGCATGATCCTTCTTTTTGTTTTCCTTTTCCTTTTCTTTTGTTTTTCTGAAATATTCCTGGCATAAATCAAATTTTTAAATAATCCATCTTTTATAGATTATTTTGATATCATGTATTCTTTTAATGATTCCTATCACTTGTTTTATAATTGCTACTTTGAAATATTTTTTAACAATTTTTTACTCTTTTCTATTTCTTTATCATTAACTGGGATGAACAGGGGCAAAGTACATGGCCTGAGGTTAATCCTTGTACACTGATTTTAAGTAAATAAACATAAAAAGGCCTGAACCCTGGCATTAAGATACCCAAATTGTACAAATGAATAAAATTTTATAATAATAAAGAAATCATATTCATCATTTTTTCGCCTAAATAAAAAATATTTTTATCAATATCCCAATAGATGCATGAAGAACCTGAAGCACTTGGAGAACTAGACAGATCAGTTTAAAAATGCAATGAGACAATTCTAAACTTATTTCTTTAAACGAAAAAAGACAAAAAAACTAAGAGAGTAAAACTAAGGAAAATGATAAGGAAAAGGACCTAAGCCCTGGGGAAAAAGCTGCTTAAAATTAAAATTAAAAGCTTGTATTTCATATTGAAGAGATGTAATCATCTGCATTTTGCAATAACTAAGGCAGGATTCATTTTCCCATAAATAAATAAAGGATCTTCAATCATTTGATCCAAAAATAAAAATAAAACAGAATTTTGGCTATTGTTATTCTATAGTCTATACACACTACTTCAAAGTACAATAAAAATGGAAGACCTTTCAAGAAACTGAAACAAAATTGAACCCACATTTTGTTTCTCCTATGAGAGAGAGATGATACCGAAACGAAAGCGAAATCAACAGAAGGGGGTTCCTCAGAAGGCACCGCCACTTGCTGGATATCAGGCACTGTTCCCACCGCACTGATTCTCACTCTAGAATTACACAATCTTCTTTTAGTCTTACTTATTTCTGCATTTTTATGAATCCCATGATCATGGTCTTTCCTAAAAAGAGGGGGAAATTGCAGAGAATTAAGCTGTAGAATCCCCATTAACAAAGAAAAAAGAGAGAGAAAACCAACCTCAGTGTGTGGAGCTCAAGTGGCCTATTCAGTGTGATAAAGTTGTGGGTGTTTGTGGCTCTTCTTCCCCTTATCCATACCACAAACCCATTCTCTCTCTAAAATCTATTCATTTGTACAAATTTCTCTCTCCAATATCTATTCATAGGTACGGGAGAATTGAGTGGTCCTGTGTCATTAAATGGTGAACTTTTTGAATGTTAACAATATGCTACGGTCCATGGCTCTAAACCTGTGGTCCCATTTCACAACATCTCTCCCCAAAAAACGGTTGGACCCGACCCGAAAAAAACAATCCAAAAAAATATGAAAAAGTATATAATGAGGGTAAAATATGTACTTTTGGTACAAGTGGATGTGAAATTGAGTGGTGGAATTTATTTCATTAACCAAACTCAAAATTTAAAAGAATTTTTTTTGAATTTTGTGACACGTCTAAACTAACAAATTTTACATCGGATGGTTGTAAGTAATTGTGACTTATCGGTACCAAAGATAAATGGACTCATTATAAACAATCCTAAAAAATATATATATTTAAATGTTATGTTATATATATATATATAACAGTGATTTCATGCAACAATTGTATCATAGTATGTTGCAACCACTCTTCTAGAAAACCATGTTTATGGGTATTTGTATGATCCGAAATTTTGCACACACACACACTCTCTTCATCTCAATAATCAATCCCCAAAAAGAAAAAAGTTTTAATTTGGACCTTAGATATAGTCAAAATGAATCCCCTCCAACAAAGAATCTAGACTATTTATTTAGTTCAAGATCGAAGCTTTTACAAACTCAAAATCATTTTTTTCGTTTTTAACATTGTCTATCTAATCATAATAAAGCCATCTAAAAAAAATTGGAAAAGAAAAATCCTTCTAAAGCCTAGATCTAAGCATCTTATCAAAATGAACGACCTATGTTAAATAAGCTAAAAAAATACTTTCTAGGTTCCGTTTTCATAAAAACAACATCACGACTAATAAAAATATTTTGAGTTTACAAGTCAAAAACACAATATCCTTTTTGGTCATAAGGATATCCAACAAACACATATTTTCGAGCCTGAACATCAAATTATCTCAATTAGAAGCTATAGTGGTGGCATAGTAGAACCATCAAATGAGTATGGGTCGGAGGTTTATTAGAAAGAACTTTATAAAAGGATTTGTTTGATAATAAGGATGTTGGAATTTAATTTATTAAATATGTGGTTGTAAGAATGTAGTCACCCCAAAAATTGAGGGGTAAATATCCTTGAAAAGCAAGGCTCATGCTATTTCAAGGATATGATGGTGTTTACGTTCAATAACATCATTTTGTTGTTGAGTGGCAACAAAAATGTGTTGTTGAAGTACTCTGTGTTCTTGAAAATTTGGCATATATTGGTGGATAAAAATTCAGAGCCATTATTGGTCCAAATTTGTTTAATTTTGCAATTGAATTGGGTAGTTTCAAAAGCCAAAAAATATTTTAATAAAGACTGTGTTTCAAATTTTGTGCGCATAAGAAATATCTAGGTACATCATGAAAAATCATTAACAATTGTGAAAAAATAACGAGCTCCACAGTAAGAAATTTTGGAGTAGCCACCCCAAATATCATAATGTAAAAGATCAAAAGTCGAATGTGAGGAGATAAAGCTAAGAATTGAAACTAGAAATACCATCAACATTCTTGGCTAATAATTTTAAACGTGGTGAAGAAACATGGTTGAGGCGCTAGTGCCTGAGACCAAAAACTGATAAGTTGGAAGAGAGGTCCATGGAGGAATCAATGGGAGCTTAGAAGTAATAGAGACCACCATATTGCTTAGCTACTCCAATCGTCGTCTTTTGGGACAGGTCCTAAAAATAAAGAATCACAAGAGAATATCACTGCATAGGCATAAGAGGCAGTAAATTTACTTATGGATAATAAATTAAAACTAAAAGAAGAAATACAAAGAACTTGATGAAGTTTAATATTAGGAGTTAAATAAACATATCCAATGTGAGTAACTGCAGCATGTGAATCATTTGGGAGTGTAACGGGTGTAGCATAGAAGTTGGTTTGCATGTGTAAAAAAGTGAAGGATCAAATATCATATGATCTGAAGCTCCTAAGAAGCTCTTGTGTCAACTACCCAGGTGTTGTAAGAAATGGGAATTAGAGTTGACAAAGAGTTACCCGCAAAATGAATAGAAGATTGTGTATTAGCTTCATTGAGCGTGGACATCAATCACTGATATTGAATTGGGGTAATATAATAAATTAATTTTTAGAAAAGGAAAAAATAAAATATGAGGAGGCAATATCCTCAACTTTTACAACACACTTTATAATAGAGATTATAAAAATACAAAACTAAACAACTTGATTCAGAGAGATCAATTTTATTGCAATGAGTTGCATTTTAAACTACATTTTTACTATGAAATGGATTTAGTTGTCAACAAATACTCAGGCAAGAAACAGATTCTCAATATTTACATATTTTCAATAAAATAATGAAAATCTACAATGCAATACCCCAAATTTCTTTAAAAACATAAGAAACTAGATTTTAAAGAAATTTTAGTACTTTTTTAGGTTGAAACCCACCAATCTGGCTAATTCACGCCGATTCACTAATCCGGTATGGTTTTTGAAGTTGCATCCAGGTCATTGATCGTTTTTTTTTTTTAACCTTTGTTTGTTACGGTAGTGGAAAGGAGAATCGACAGTGTTTTGCCAATTGTGCGGTAATTTATGAATCTTGTATTTTTCCCACTATAATGAAATCATATCCTTTCTAGTTTCACATTAATATAGCCCTATTAGTGTGAACGACATATGTTTGTATGTTGGTGGTGTTTATGTGCCATGGTATTTTTTGGAATTTTCTATATTGCATATATTTGTCTCTTTTTATTTTCTTTATTTTTAAAATTCAATGTTGAGTATTAAGATTTCTTGATATTGATTTGCTAGTGATAAACAAGTTGATTTTGATGTATTTGATTTACATTTCTCAAAGCCATATTACAACAAGTCGTAATCGAATTAGTCGCGATTCGCAAAATATGACTCCCTAAAGGGTATCTCTCTATATTTACTCAACAAGGGGTAACCGATTGAGTCTCAGTTCTCAACAATCGTTGTATGTGCTTAAAGGAAAGCGCGTAGTGACAAAATAGCTAATTCTAAATTTAAAAATGAAGTTTAATGGGTAAAAGAATTTTGAACTGTACAATATAAATGTGTTTATGATATATTGGTACGAACAGGTCAATGCATAGTAGCAATGCCAAGAAGCCAGAAAATATGAGAGATGAAAGATGATGATTGGTGGAATTAGATTTGAAGGTTTTCCCAATTATGAGCTTTTTTTTCTTTTTTTTTTTATAATAAAAAGCAGTGTAATATAATGCTCCCATATGTTTAGAGAATAATGTGTCATACAATACCATAGAAGAAAAAAGAGAGTCGGGTTTATGGGCGAAATTAGAAATATTCATACCAAATCTCTCATAAATCAATTTTTCCCGAAAATAGAATTTTAATTTTACTCTTTGAAGATAGGAGAGGATATGAAAGTACTACAACAATTCAATGAGTTGACAATACTTTGTTCGTCACCAAAATCTTATGATAATCTTATAACGGGTTTTAACTTAGGGAAAAGTTTATATAAAGCCGACGCTTTAAACAATTAAATTTGAGGCTACCTCAAAAATTTGATTAGAGGAGGTTGTTTTGATACCCAAATATCTTTAAATTGATCATCTCGACTTCAAGGTGCATGGACATGAGAAAAAAATAGAATACAAGTTTTGAAAATAATGTATTTTGTAACGCATTTTTGGACCTTCAATTTTCAAGATTTTCAAGATATCATAGATATGTCGATCTACACTATTTTTGAAACTTTGAACCTCACAAATAGATATGAAAATATATTTTAAAGCTATCACAAAGATTTCCAATATTAAAACAACATTTCCTGATGCTATTTGGAGGTAGGCTCTAATTTGATTGTTTAGAGCCTAGGCTCTATACAAACCGCACCCTTTAACTTATAACAAGGAGGAACCTCTCAAGTTGAATTCATTTTTTGGTGCCCTCCCTTGCGAGGAACCTTAAAAGAAGTTGGATAAATGATGGAAGTTCTTGGGGGCAAAGGGGACCCAAATGAAGTAAATGATATATTAAATAATTCATTAAGAGAGAAAAAATGGAGTTACTAATACAAAATACCTTAGCTTGTTCAAAATTTTAAAATTTAAAAAGGTAATTGAGTGAAGTAATCCTTTCAAAATAACAACTTTCTTGATAAACTATTTGAATTGACCATCTTAACAAAATTTTTTCAATGCTCTGATTATTTTAGTAAAGGTGCAGTTGGCATACGGATGCATCCATAGCTGTAGAGGTAAGGTGCATCTTCAAATTTTATCATGGTATATAACTGTGATGTAAAATGGTTTTAGAATTATCTCAAAATCTATTTTTATATCTAATTATAAAATTTTAAATTTAAAAAATGGTTAAAATAAAATAGATCTATAAACATCTGAAAATCTTGAAAATGGACAGTGTAGATAATATATTGTAAAATGCACTATTTCTAAGACTTAAAGTCCTTTTACTTTTCAGGGTCATACATCTCGATCTCGAGATGATCAATAAAAGGGTTTTTCAACATTAAAACTACATTTTCCGATGTATTTTTGAGGTGCATCTATAGTTCTACATTATAAGGCTGGATCCTTATATAAACTTTTTCTTTTTAGTATCCTTTTAAAATAACAACTTTCTTGAAATACTGGTTGAACTGACCATGTTAGCAAAATATTTTCAATGCTCTGGTCAATTTAGTGGTACTTTAAATATTTTCCTTGTATATTGAGTGGAGATTTCCTTGAAACTTCGCTTGTTACGTGAACCCCTTCCATTGCTTGAGCGTAAGAATAGTCGCTATCTTTTGCATATACTCTAGGAGTACTAGTCAAAGAAAGCTCTAGAAGTACTATATTTAATAGGCTTTTTAATAAACTCACCTAGCCCAAAAAAAGGCATTTTAAGTAAACTCTCTACTAAGTTTTGGTCAACAATTCTTGTGTGGCCCTAGGATTGGAATTCTTAAGGGAAATTAATAGGAAAAAAAAATATTTTGGTTAGCGGTGTCATAGAGTCGAGAAATTTTTTTTGAATTTTGAACTTAGTCAATAAAAAACTCACAATCACCCGATTTGAAATTCATTTGATAAGAGCGATTATGACCTATTTACACCATAAGTAAATGGTCTCATTGTATACTTATTCTTCAAAAATAGTCTCATATATTTTATATTTTATACTCAAGTCCTACTTTCTGAAATTATACATTATTTTAATCTTATCTTTTTCTCAAGCCATTGCATTAATCTCAAATTTGCTATTTTTATAGATGTCACCATCACATATCTATAAAAAATAATTTAAAATAAATAAAATTTATCAAAATTTCCCTAAATACCATAGAGGTATTTAAGTTATTTATTATATTTAATATTTTTTGTCGGTGTGTGATGGTGAGAAGTATAAATAGTCAAATTTGAGCGTGATTCGATATATAAAAAAGAAATAAAAGTAAACTATTTTTAAAATCTAAAACAAAACATGAATTGTTTTATAAATTTCCCCATTTTCAATAAACTTTCTGGCGTGTCACTACTGTGACCTCTATTAAACATAGTATTTTAATTATAAAAGAGAAATATAATCACGCAAATGTGTCGAGCTCTAGCAGTTTTTTAGACCAAAGTAACAGACACCTCTGAAACTTGTTAGACACCAATACTCGTGTCGGTAATGGGATCCATAGAGTGAGAAACGTGTTGGAAACAAAGGCTTATTTACCACGGAAGCTTATTTTAAAGGGACAATGAGATCTTGCGATTAAAACTTAGGCTATTATAATTTATTTATTCCTATTTTTCAGAATTTTCTTCATCACCAAACTAAGGTCTCTCTCATCTTGCTCTTCCATTGCACGGGCTGCGTACTGCCTCACATACTAATTGCTATACTAGTTTGCAACTGTTATTATTTATCATTTAATAGATATGAGTAGCAATGTGTCGGCAGGGAGAGCATGGTGGTCCCAGTTTGGAACAGCCTGGTCTGGTCCCGCGCCACTATATTTGGCATGAGGGCAGGGTTCGAGCATGGAATCAAGGACCTGTACTTAAGTTGGGCCGAGCCAGCGCAGGTCAAATGTGCAACTTTGTCCTCCATTAGCATCATATGTCGCTCAATAAAATAAAAACACTTTTATGTGCATAAATAAACTCACGCGTGATAGTACATGGCGTATTAAAGAAGAGGCCCTCTTATTATTGTGAGACGGTGATTTAGGCAAAAAAATGAGCTACAAGATAGGGGTGGTCCTCATTATTTATAAAAAAAATATTATCGAATGGTAATAAAACCCCTCAAACCATATATGTACGTATATCGTTTTGTTTTTTTATGAAATTCAAACAAAAATGGTATCACTTGCTCATTCTGCCCTTCCCATTAACAAGGCCAGGCTGAGCCACATAGTCCAATAGTAGGGCTGGGCTTGAGCTAGGGTCCCTTTAACCCGGACTGGGGCGACTTTCCATGTCCCTCAGACCAGCATTACCCCATACGGTTGCCCCCCTCATATTAAAGGGCATTCTTTGTCCTAACCACTACAATTTTTATGTTCAGTAGTGGGCCTATCAACGATTCTTTTCTTGCTTGACTTCCCTTTGATGACTTTCACGAATATTTAATACTTTCACAACCCATAAAGTATTTATTTCATTAGATTATATAACTGAAAAACCTACGATCCTGAAAGATGAAAGGTTCGGATTTATTTTTAGAAACTTAATACTTATAGCCTAGCCGTCCATCTCAAAGAAATGGACAATGCCACAAAGCCACGTAGCAATGACGTGAGGATGTGCCTCATGCATTGAACGGTACAATTACAAAATACCTTTCATTTTCGCCATGCCGAGGGACCCAGCTTCCCAACTCTTGATTGCTTTCACACTCAAAATGCCTACAAAGCTTAAGGTAGAGATAATATTCCCAAACTACCCTCCAATCGTGAAGATTTACTTGTCATGGTAATTCCCTACATTTGTGAACATATGATGTTTGTATAAAATGTCATGAAAGCTTTTCCCTTAATTTCTATTTTTTCTTTTTTTTTTTCAAACCTTTACACCTATATATATATATATATATATATATATAGAGGAAGAGACTAACAAACGTTATGGGAGAAAATGAATAGTATTTTCGCCCATAAGCTCATCGCCGTCTGATTTTTTTGGAAGGCGTAGATTAATGACAGTCACAGACTTAGTATGTCCGTGGCGGTCTGTCACAGACATAGCAAGTTCGTGACGGGATTTTTTTCACACAAAAAATATGGGTCAAATATGGGAGGATCGCCACGGCTCCCGTAGATCCGTGGCAGTTTTTAGGCAAAACCATCATGGATATGCTATGTCTGTGACAGGGGCAAAACACTGAATGGACATATTGTGTTTGAAAAGACAATTTTCAAATTGGTTTTTTTGACACTCGTATCCAAGTAAGATATTGTCCATCTTGAATTCTAACTCTTAACCCCCTACAAGTAAATCTACAAAATTTCAGTACTCTAAGTTACTATGGAATTACTTCATTAACCTAAGGTTGAAATTGTGCCTTTGGCATTTATCTAAGGAAAAAGTTTATATAAGGTTGCAACCTTCAAATGTAGAACTACGGATGCACCTAAAAAATCCATCATAAAATATTATTTTAATGTTGAAAAACCCTCTAATTGAGCATATCGACGTCAAGATGTATGATTATGAATAAACAAAAAAATTTGAGTCCCAAAAATAGTGCGTCTTACAACACATTATCTAGACCATTCATTTTTAAAATTTTCATATGTTTATAGATCTACTTGATTTTAACCATTTTGGAGTTTAAAATTTTATAATTAGATATGAAAATAGACTTTGAGATAATCTTAAAAATATTTTACATCAAAATTATATGTTATGATCAAATTTGAAGGTGCGCCTTAATTAGATTGTTTAAGGTTGCAACCTTGTGGAAACCACACCCTTTATCTAAATGCTTTGGGTTTCTTCTTAACTAGAGGGACTACCATGTAATTTCCAAATAAAATCCTCCGTTTCACCTCATGCTTTACAATCTCACTTTGAAGAGGCCCACACGGCTTGGTGCGTTATTTCTTCTCTCATTTAGAAACTATTTCTCATTACAAAGAAGCTTCATGGCGACTACAAAAGTTGAAATTTGGGGCACCGCCTTCACTCTTATAAGGCCCCCCAGCCACCCTCTAATGCACTACTTTTATACTTCTTTGACAGAAGAGTGGTTGAGGCATGGATAAGAGGCTTTATGTGGCTTCTATAGTGGGCAATGTTGCCCTCTTGCTTGAGCTAGTGCAGGAGGATGAGTCAATACTAGACCAAGTGACCGAGCCGGCTAGGGACACGGCTCTGCACCTGGCGGCTAGGTTCGGACAGATCAATTTCGTGAAAGAGATTGTTGGGTTTAAGCCTCAAATGGTGTCATTAGAGAATCATAGACTTGAGACGCCGGTGCACGAAGCCTCTAGGGAGGGACATGCAGAGGTTGTGGCCCTGCTCTTGGAGATGGAGAGCACAGTTGCTTATAAGCTCAATCGGGAAGACGAGAGTTGTCTGAAGCTCGCTTGTCGACGTGGTCACTTGAGTGTGGTGAAGTATCTCTTGGAAATCCCTTGGCTACTCATCACAGAGCTGGGGAAGCCCTCCACTTCTCTACATGCAGCTGTTGCAGGAGGGCACACAGGTACACATGACTTCTCAGTTTCTTCACAAAGACAAGCATGTCCATATACGTCCTCTTTTTTCTTTTTTTTTTAATTTAAAATGACTTAAAATCTCGCATTTTAACTTCGATTAGGGAGGAAAGTCCTCGGCTTCCGGTGGTTCCGAGTCATGGAATCACCGGGTAGTTTTCTCTCTTACTGTTCTGATAGTTTGTCTGGGGCGCCCTCCAAGTTTGACCCTTTTGGTTTCATGGTTAGGTTGACTGTCATTGTCCCATTCAATGCTCACCAATTTCCTCTCCTTTTCTCACACAGGAAGGCTAGAAGACCATATTATATGTCAAGGCTTCATATAAAAATTGCATGCTCCACTATTAAAGAACCTTAGTAGCTTTGACTAAGCTATAGCAATGCTAGTTAAGGTTTAATCAAATTTCATTAATAATATAGAGCTCTATAAATGCATGTGAGCGTATGAACTATGCTCCTGACTCCCTCAAGCAGAAGACTAATTTGGGTGTGATCTGAAATTTCAGGAACCACCTAAAATTCAATTGATAATTATATTCAAAAGAAAAATTTTGAATTTTAAGTTTTCTGATGCTTAGATTTCACCCTTCAAAAATTGGAAAGTATCTATTCGATCTTGAGGCATTATTTTTTTCAAACCTATGGAGAGTGCAATACAAATGGGAAATTTTTCACATTTGAGTATAGCGCTTGGGTTGAAGAGATTATATCCCTAAAATCTGTGATCCTAAAAATACTCTTGGGTTTTGCCCAATGAAGTAAATTGGTTGTGCTCCATCGGGAGCATGAAATCTTTTGGCATAGCATATTCTATGTGAATCATTCACGTACAGATACAAATGCATATCTAAGAAAACCGACCTAATTATAGGCCGGCAATAAAAGAATATAAAACCTGTACATATTTATTATGCTATTGTGTTATTATTGTTGGTATAGGTATAGGTATTAAATTTGTTATTTATGATTGTGAGAGACAAGATTCAAAACTTTGAATTCCCTCGCAAATTGAATGTGTCAGTATATCATTAGAAACTAATTTACCTTAGGAGTTAGGACTTTTGCCTAAATGTGAGCTAGAAACCCTTGTAGCCCGGTATAGCACTAACATATGATAAAAATTTTCAAAGAAACACTAAATTACTATAAAAGAAAAATCAATAAAGGTAAACTTGGCTAGGGTGGAGAGGATACATTCCCAAGATTTGGGGTCCTCAAAATACCCCTAGCTTGATTTGTCCAAGGGAACAAATGGATAATTTGCTCCAAGGGAGCACTAAATCGTCTGGCGTATTAACTAGATTAATAAGGTCAAGTCACGGTGTCCTTTAATTGCTATATATGAAATCGGTCGGTCAGGAGTGTCCCATTGACCTTTTGAAGTCCAAACGGTGTCACAAGCCCAAACGCTTTCTGACACCGTCTTATTCTACATTTTAACCGCCATATAAGTAGTTTAGTAAACTTTTTATGCCCTAATGAATTATCACTTAAAACGAGATACGAACACTTATTTTTTATACAAGGAGTTCACAATCATTTTTAATCATTAAATTTAATATTTAATGAATTGATATGTGTCAGTATTTTGAAAAATTTTATTTTGAACATTATGCCTAATCAATGACACATATACCTAACTACTTGATTTCGCATTTAATGATCGATAGTAGTTGTGGCATTTTTGTACCAAAAGTAAATAGCCTCATTATATGCATTTCTATAATAAGCAACAAAACATATTTACGATAAGACCATTTACTTTTGATACAAAGAGATCACCATCATCATTGGTTGTTGGATTTGAAATTGAGTGATGATTTCACATCCATGGCTAAAGATGCATTTAGTTAGTGCGTATACATATGTAAACACTTTGCAAGAAAAACTTTTGTGAACTTTCTTTTCAGCACATTTGTTACTACGTTGAAAAAAAAATTGTGTAATAAATTACATATGTTTGGTAACTTATTTGCTATTTGAAATATATTTTGTAAATGTAGTAAATCTAT